TTTGGGTTGCCTTTTCCATTGAACTGCATGAATTTTGGGGGCTGATAACCCCTTGGCATCTTCAAAGCATCAATCTTCTTGGAGTAAGGCTATGAGTACAGTACGGAGTCATGTGAGCTTCCTTTGTATTGTGTCTTGATGGTGCTTGCAATCATCTCCTGTAGCTGCTGGATAGAGAGAGATCCCATGAACGCTACTGCTTGGTCTAACTTCAGCTTCTCTTCGACTTTCTCTGATGGAGTCTCATCTTCTTCGTCGACTTTTTTCTTTAATAGACCAACATTTGGGTCGACTCTCACGTCGGGCTGCGCATCTAGTTGGTTGACGAGTGCGGCAATCTGCAAGTCCTTCTCTTCCACAGTCCGTGTGAGATTTGCGATTGCTTCATTCATCTGAGCTAGCTGCTCCTTGATTGAAGTTGCTCCAATGGTCATGACTTGCATGGTTGTACTGCCGCTCGAGTCAACATTGGAGAGTAGGGACTCTGAATATTTCCTCGGGCTCTCCCTTCTTGGCGCCCTTAGCTAGGCTAGGGTGATCACAGGCTCTTGCCTCAGGTGCTCCTGTTCCTTTGACAGAGTTAATGCAAGGGCGGAAGTTGCAGCAAAAAGAGGTCTTGCCTCGCTTCGGGCTTTTCGATGATTTGAGGATAGTGATGAAAGGTAGAGATATCCCACCGGGCGTGCCAAATTTATGAACACAAATTTTCCTGAAACAAGAATACGTGTACAAAATATATTTTTGTATTAATGATTTTGAATCTCTTTGTAGTTTGATCCTCTGATTCTATCTTCGTAAGGTGTAGGTTTGTGGATGTGCTTTTGATCCAAAAGGTCATCAGGGCTTGATTTAGGGATGAACAGTTGATGAATGGATCTTCAAGGGCCGTTGGGCTTGATCTTGAAGAATGGTTGTATGGGTTTGTTGATTTATGTTAATCTAAAGGGCCGTTGGGGCTTGATCTTAGGATGAACAGATGATGAACGATGAACACTTTCTTCAAGGGCCGTCAGGGCTTGATCTCGAAGGTTGAGGGAAGTTTCTTCAAGGGCCGTCGGGGCTTGCTCTTGAAGGGGGATTTGACGAAGAACGAATAGGGTTTTACTGATCCTTTGGGATTTGCTTGAGAGCCTTAGAGTTTCAAAGCTTCAAGGTTTTCAGTGTGTATGTAAATTCCTCCCCTTTTCTCTTGATGAAGGAGCCTATTTATAGGCTTTGAGAGTGAATCACCACCATCCTTTTTTTTTTCCGGTGAAGTGAGTGGATGTTGTAGGTGAAATAAGTGGAGTTGGTAGGTGAAGTAAATGTGTAATGTAGGTGAAATGAATGGAGTTTGTAGATGAAATGAATGTGTGATGTAGGTGAAATGAATAAATGTTGTAATTTAAATGCATTGGTTAACATTTATTTCACTGAAATTTCGGTGTCTACATAAGGTATCCCAAAATCCAAACAGAGAATTTCACAATCCCGGAATTAAACAGAAACATTTCAAATTCTTGCTTGATTTTCCAAGGCCGGAGTAAGGTTGATCCAAATACTACTACCTTAGAAGTCCGGTCATGGACTTACCAACTCCGAGCGGAGCTGTATCAGACGGAGTAGGATGCCACCATCATTTTGCTCCAGGGCACTAGGCGGAGTCTAATCAACTCTGTTGGATGACCATGCTTGTTCCGCAAGACACGCAATTTGATCCGGATAAGGACTTAATCAAATCCTATAAGTCTTGGAGTCCCTACAATCTAGGGATATGTGTGTGACACAAGTAATCACACTCCTAAGATGATGCAATATCTACATACTAGATATCCTCTTAGATTTGCCCGACTTAGAATGAGAATTCTATCCTAAAAAGGTCTCTCTCCTATGATATAAATACACTCATCTAGGGTTCATCTAGTGTAATGCAATCTATACACTTGAATTCTCTTGTCCACGGCTTAAGTCTAAAATCATTCACTAACTTGACCGTCCAAGAACCTTTGGTTGGCACACCCTCCCTTGACCTAGGGTTTGCTTACGGTTGTTTATTGTTTTTCAGGTTGTTCCAAACTACACAGATTTGTGCTTAATCGCCGCTCACGGAGGTGCACATATTTGGTTCCAATAGAACTGAGCCTTCCATTCAAGGATGAGATAATCAACAAGTGTTGTGCCTCCAAGAAAATTTCAAACTTCTTGCTCCATGCGGCATAGTCCATTCAATCAAAGAACGAAGGTGAGTTACAAAAGCCAACAACATGATCACGACCCATGGTGAGATTCCACCCAATACCAGTAACTCCCAAAGATCACTCTATATATATTTAGAGCAAAGCTCTGGTACCAATTGAAATTGGTACCAGGCAGAATATCCTACGATTATGAGCTAAAATATGCTAGATTAACTAGCCAAACTATCCAGTCAACTAAGTACAGATTCGTTAGATATAAAAACACAAATCCAAGGAATAAACTTAGTATACAAGAAGTTAACCTAGTCAACAGCAACATAATTCTTAAATCATAATCAAACAATATAACCTTGAGCACAAACACATATCAAATAATGGACCATATAATACGTGTAACATATGATAATAAACTAGACATGTGAATAAGTTTAACCAAGAAAGAACACAAGAAAGTTTTGACTAGAAAAACTCCTGACTGAGTTAAAACACCTTGGAGTAGAGAAGTCTTCAGTCTTAATAAGAGGGCAGCCACATCCCTTAAGCTCACCTCCTTGTGTTACCGATACCAAACACGATCTATGTAAAATGATATGATGATGAAGCTGGTCTGTAATATGGATTCAAAAATGGCAAGTCAGTTTCTCCAGTCAAACAATTGAAGGAACAAAAACTGATGTGAACCCAACTAGGTCTATATGAAGGCTTGGAACTTATATCTGGACCATGAAACAATGCAAACCTGTTTCTCAATGATTGGGGGAGTTAATACAAATTTTCTTTGTGAAAAACAGTTTGGTAGCTAGGGTTTCCTAAATGAGGAAGAGGTCAAGCTTAAGGCTTAAATGTACTATCTCTCTCTCTCTCTCTCTCTCTCTCTCTCTCTCTTTCTCTCTCTCTCTCTCTCTTTCTCTCTCTCTTTCTCTCTCTCTTTCTGCAAACACTAAAACCAGACCAACCAAGAAGTAAATGAAACCTAGGAACCTTTTATCACAAAAAGGCTTGTTTGTTTTCAACCAACAAGGATGAAATGACACTTGCCAAAAGGAGAAGCAATATGAGCTAATCAAGGGTGAAAAGTTTACTATCGTATAAAAAGTGTCAGTCAGCCCACGTGGGTTGTCTTAAATTCCATGCCCAGTTCGCGAGATAACAACGAGTAATGAAATATGAATATAAATGTGAAATGCATATACATGAACAGATCTTTGAAGAGATGAGCCAATTGTTTGAACATTGATTTCCAATAGCAACATGCGTCAATGACAATATATCCTAAAAACTAACTAGAGCATGTGTGGTACATATATACAATATTGACAAGGAAAGCCACAACGCTTAAGTCTAGACTTCACAGAAACTCTTGGGTTTCGACTATTTCGAAGTGGTTCCGAGTGTGTAAGGCTCAAATCCGAAGCTTGGGATGATGGGGACTCTAATCCCAACATCAATCTTGTCTAACTTTACGAGATTAGGCCGTAATCTCGTTAGAAAGTTTTTGCAACTCGTCAAAAAACTGGTTAGTTTTCCGATTAACTCGACAAGACTTGTGGCGGTTTACTGGTAAAATATTGCCAAAGGGGCGAGATGTGGTGGTGGTGATGGTCTTAGTTTTCTTTGTGCAATGTGTAGAAAAAGTGAGAGATGGAGCGGGAGAGACTCTGGAGAGAGGGTGCAAGAGAGTGGGCTGGGTAAGTATGAGCAAGTGTATGTTTGGGTCAACGCCAAACAATAAGTTAATTAGATACTAGGCCTAATTAGGAAATAGTAAAAAAAACAAATGGGCTAACTTGCCTATTTGTTTTACGAGTCCAACTAGCAAACCAACAATACCATAGTTTGTTTGCAATATTGACAACTCATTGCTATCTTGAAAAACAAGTTGTGGATTCCCAAGATGCAAAGTTACCATTTTGCCCCTTGCCTTGAAAAGTGCGCAAATCATTCACTACACGTCCTCTTTATGTCCCGTTTGTATTCACATGTTCATGGTGACGAATACTACTTAACTAAGAATGAGAAAAAAGACGAATTATTAGAAGAGTTTAGAGATCCAAATAGTATTCCCATTTAACTCGTCAAAGGCATTTTCATAATTTCTCAGTGTGGGGGGAATAGACTACAAAAAAATTTGGGATAGGATGTAACACAAAAATGCCTTTAAATGAAAAGTTCTTCAATGGAAGAATGTAACATATTAATTTTTTCCCGAAATGTAATTAACTTTTTACATCTTTAATTAGAAGGGTGTTGGGCCTTGTGAGTTATAAAGAAAAAAATAAACGAGATCTTAAATTTACATATTATCCATTTGAATAGTCCATATTCATATTTCTTGGAAATGCAAAATGAGATGTTAGTGTAATTTTTACATTTCATATTTGCATCTCTCTACCAAATAAACCAATGTTCTAAAAATCGCATGGCGGTAGTTGGTTTTGTAAGGTTTAAATCAGTATTAGGCTTTATTTCTCATAAATAAAAGAATAGTGAGCCTGTTTTTATCTTGCATTAAAAATGCTCTCATAATTAAATCAGCACGAGCACCTCAAAAAAATTCAATCAGCCGGAGGAAACTCAAATAACTGGCAACCTAGCTCAAATTAATTAGGGCAATTGCAGCCATGCAATGGCAAATATAGTAGTATTATTTATAGGTGATAATAAACTGAACCCGCTTCTCTCTCTCTCTCTCTCTCTCTCTCTCTCTCTCTCTCGGTGTACGGGCGGGTCTGTTTTGGCAAAAACTATGTTTTACGTAAACAAATTAAGGCATACTCCATGCATGCATGGCCTCAATGCAACAACATTTGCAACGGGGCCATCTCTCAAGGACGGACCCCTTGTTTCTTCACATTGCTAATTACCGCAATGAAAAACAAACAAATCTCAACGATGACCAAATATTTTTACTTAAGATTTCAAATATTTGATGTTTTTGCGTAGCAAGCTAAGCTATAGCTAGTTTTGGTTATATCAATATGCCAGGTGCCGGAGGTTCATTCATCTGCCTCATCTCTTGCGTTTTATTCATCTCTATCGTGGCCGGAGGCGGCTGCCTGTTGATGTACATGATCCTACCTGAACCTCAAACCACTTGGCTTCCCATTACCGGAGTCGCGTTGGTTTGCCTTCCATGGTTGTTTTGGTTCCTCACATTCCTATATCGACTAATCTCTCGGGGCTCCGGATTTAGAGGTGGCATTGGCAATGCTGCGGCTTCGGCTGGTGGTGCAAAGGTTACTAACACAGCTGCATCGGCATCGAATTTACATGCCAGTACCGATCTTGCTGCACCTTCTGCTCAATCGCCAGGGGGTGACACTGGTGCTATGGTAGCAAGAGAGGTAGAATTAGGAAGTTTAAAGGATGGAAAGCGAAGGATCTCGTCGTTAAGTCGCAATTCATCAAACATTAATGTATCTCGTCATTCTCATGAGAGTGAAATGCCTTTGGCCTTATCAATGGCATCCTGATATATCTAACCTATGCAATACATGCGCAAATTAATAGCTTCTCAATTATTAACTACGTACTCCATGCATCTCTATACATGCTTGTCCCTTTCTGCATGTCATATGGGACATGCCTGCGTCACCGAGTCGCCCAACTCGGTTGGAACAGAACAGACCCAATTGAGAATCCGCCATCGTAATTGTGAAATCGGCTTGAAATTTCTTTCGGTGATTCAAAACGGTGGGGATTTGAGTTTTGAGTTGTGACCCGAAAATGACAACTCGAAATTTCAACGTCTTCATCGTTATCGAGTACTTCTTGCTCGACCACGTATATTCATCGAGTTTCTGCAAATTAAATACTTTAAAAAATTAGCATGACGAAATATTGGCCGGCCAATGCAAAGAAAAATGTAATAAACTTTGCTCGACGAAACCCTTCGTCAGGTAAAAACTTTAATTTTTTTTTAAATTCGAAATTAAAACAATATTTAATTTAAATAATAATTCTAATTCTATTAATCTAAAAAGCTAAAGAAAAAAATTACACATAGAGATACTTTTAATACTTAATTTTATGTTGAGACAACACTTTTTAAACATTTGAATGAGAGAAACAATAATAAATGTGAAAGATGACATCATTTAATTTTTTTTTCTAGAGTTTAACTTACTAAAATACCCTTTATTTTTTATATCTTTTCACACTTCTCTCTCCAGCATTGGAGTTGATCATGCCACCTAGGCGCCTTGTTTCTTGGGGTTTAAAGAGATGATGTAGTATGTACAGGTTGGGCTTCTACACCTTTTTGCCGCCAGAAGAAGCTTCCCATCATTAGTTAAGGTTAACTAGTACAAAAGCTAGAACAATTATATTTACACTTGGGAATGAGACTATAGTAAAACCTATTTCAAATTTATTTGTTTCATCACGTACCTCAAATATGCTCTCAAACTTTTGAAAAGGATAAAAAAAATTGATCCAAGGAAACAAAAGACCAAATTACAAAACAATCATCAATCTTATATCCTTATACATTTGGACGTCATTTTGTGAAATCTCAAAAGATTGAACGCACGATGGAGCCTGCACAAGAGAAATTAAATTAATACACAGTGATTAATTTAATTTGAAGGACAATGTTAATTAACTTTGACACACCCCGACCTAAATTGAGGCACACTGGCCATCATGTGAAGGTGACGTAGCCATGTGCACAGTGTGGAAGTAATAGTATATAAAAACATGGGTAAATAAAAACCAAATTAGCTAATTTACACTAGAATAAATATAAGTGTGCGAAAGTATTTAAAGTAAAGATACACGCATTCAAAGCATAGACGTCCTAGGTGCAATCCAGCTACTAAGCATTAATTATACAGGACATGAAAGAAATTCCTACATTATTGCAAGGATGTCGGAACTGTCGTAGAATCCTCATGAGCCACCAATACAAACATCTAGCTAGAACCTAGAGGAGCGCAAAACAAAAAGTGTGTGTGGGCAAAAATAAAGTTTTTGAAAACATCTTTGTCTGTAGAAACGTAATAACCCCTCACCATAAAACCCGTATAATTTCCCAGAAAATATTATTACATTCGTATATAGAAATCATTCACGAAAGCAATGGAAACCAAATATATGCCATGTCACTATCTCAGCAGTAAATATGTAAGCCAGGTGCTATATATCAATGTAAAAGTGATATGCCAGCTGGAGTCACCTAATGTGACCTGTACGGCTGAACCTATTGCTCATCAATCTAGCCGGAGTCACCTAATGTGACCTGTACAACACTAAACCTGTATACAAGTTAAAACCACTTAATGTGGTATGTACGACAAGCTGGGTGTAAATAAGTACGCTCAAGTGCTATAATTACGTGAAGGCTGTGCGACGAATCGCAGCTCACCTACAAGTCGAAACCACCTAATGTGGTTTGTACGACAAGCTGGCACCTGACTTGGATCCAAGCTGAGCATGTGTTGCAAAAGGTGAACGATCACATGAAGGCTAGGCCCTAGCCACGAGCAGAGCACTAACACCGGGGTGCAGGAAAATGAGCTCTACGTGCATCAACTCATAATCAACTACCATGCAACCATACCGTCAATATATACTCACCTGAACTTACATGGGCCTTCGCAGCATCATGCAATATTATGCAAAGCTATACTAATGCATATGCTAAAATGTAAAGCAAATATGATATGGCATTTTAAGCGAAATTCCATTTAAAACAATTTTTGGGAAATGTGTGTATATATATATATAAACCAAAAGCCCACTCACTGGTATGTAATAGGGTCGTAACCCCGAAGTCTCCCATGGCTAGGCTGGTCCTCCAGGAACGTCTCACCTATATGTGAAACAACTAATTCAATGTTAATTTTAAGCACATAACCAAAACTGTGTAATAACTTCTCATATGTTACTCAATTGGGGTGTTTGAATATACCATCGTGGCCTACTCAACACCATGAGTATCCCCATATTGACATCCCACGCGCCGGCCACGCGCAGGCATGGTGGACAGAAACCCTAACGGCATTAGGGAATAATCTGTTAAATAAAAGCATATACCATTAGATTTACCTGATGTCGTTAGTATATTTCGTCAAAGTTGATGGAATATTCCTCTTCTTCTCCGGTGGTCTTTGCCGGAGCCGTCGTCGACCGCCATTTGTTACGCCGGAAACTGAAAAATCTTAAAACTTTAATATCTACTTCATTTTTCAACCAAATTTCATGAATTTTATATGGATTTGAATCTCTTGAAGTACAGAACACAACCATACCTATTTGAAGCCCTAAAACCGATGGAAAATGGTCGGAATAATTCTTGGAAAAACCGGCCAACTCTACAATCCCACGATCTTGCTTATTCCAACGTCCAAACTTTTCCAAAACTAGTCTAAAATTCTAGGGAAGTCGAGTGAGTACCTCACTAAGCCTTAAAACCTTGAAATCAAGTCGGGATCATGACAAAGTGAACTTCACCTCGCCAGAGGTTATGATTTCCCGAGTTCCCGTAATCCTTTCTCCGAACTAAGGGCACGACCAAGCTTGTGAAGTCGAGGAAAGTACGAAGGTGTTATCCTTAGGCTCGATCTGTGGTGTTTAGATGGTGTTTAAGAGTTGGAGAGCTCAGGTTGTACAAACAAGAGAGAGAGTTCAAGAAAGAAGGAGAGAGTGAGGGTTGCACATACGTGTGTGTGTTGCAGGATTGGCCAACAAGGAAAATATTAAGGCTCTCCATTGGGCAGCTGTGTAAGGCAAAGGAGAAAAGAAGAGTCCAAGTGGCCCAAAATATAATTTCAACACCAAACTTGATTAGGCTAGGGAATATAGGAATAGTTGTAATTGGTTTAGGTTTTATTTTACTATTTGGACCTAATTATATCCTGATGTTCGTAACTTTTTCATTACGAACCTGATTCGGCCCTAACTTACGTCATCACGCTCGTGACGACGCGTACAATTTAATTACGTTAGTGAGAAAAATAATTTAAAACTATATACGTGCATCCACGTCACTAAGCCTCAACGGCATTATCGTCAGTTTACATACTCGAGGATAAAATATATACAATAAATTGGGAAGGGTCGTTACAAACTTTGAACTTAATTTTATTGATAAAAAAAAGTAAATTATTTGAAACTTACAAATACCGAGTAAGAATCAATCTAGCCCAACCTAACACAAACTAGGCTTCCCCATTTACTAATTCTTCTATAACTATACGAACTGGTTCTATTGTAAAATATATAAAATAGTCGAAGACGTTTTGAACTAATTCTGTAAAAATGGTTGAAGGTTGAACTGATTCTGCAAATGATCGAGGACGGTTGAACTGATTCTGCAAATGGTTGAGGACGGGTTGAACTGACTTTGCAAAAATGGTCGAAGGCAAGTTAAACTGATTCTGTAAAAACAGTCGAGGACTGATTAAACTGATTCTACAAAAATGGTCGAAGACAGGTTGAACTGATTCTGCAAATAGTCAAGGACGGGTTGAACTGATTATGCAAAAAGGTTGAGGACGGGTTAAACTAATTCTGTAAAAATGATCAAGGAGGAGTTGAACTAATTATGCAAAAATGGTCGAATACGGGTTGAAATGATTCTGCAAATGGTCGAGGATGAGTTGAACTGATTTTGCAAAAATGGCCAAAGATGGGATGAACTAATTCTACAAAAATGGTTAAGGACGGGTTGAACTAATTCTGCAAAAATAATCGAGGACGGGTTAAATTGATTCTGCAAAAATAGTCGAAGACAGGTTGTATTGATGTTGTGTTCCTTTCAAGTGCAAAAATAAGGATAGTATAGTGGCACAAGTAAGGGTGTCGAACCATAGGGACTAATTAGACCACTACAAATTACTAGCTTTATGTGAACCCTAACTAAACAATGAAAATGCAATCTGAATCTAGATTTTCCAATTGGAAACTAAAATAACTTAAAAATGTAAGAAAGATAAAGATAAATGATAGGTTGATTCAGAAATAATGGGAATGGAACTAGGGATACCGATTTCACCATTACAAGCCAATTCCATGAAAATAAAGTCAAACTGCATTCAACTCTCCAATCTGCAACTAGGGATCGTTTTACTCATTTATGATCATCCATTTGATGTGTGGGTATGATCAAGTACTCCTAATCTCCAACCTAGTTGTGATGTTCAACTTAGATTATCAACTAAGAATCCATTAAGAACAAGAAAACCTCCAAAGAACCAAAGAAATCACATGGCAGGATGTATGCATAGCAGTTTCTTCATTCATTCACATGTCTACCAAGATTAATCATGATGTGTACTATAATCTTGATCAAATAATCTGTAAGTAACCCTAATGGTGATCAAATACCAGGATAAACAAACAAATTAAACTATAAAACCAGTGAATGAAATAAGAAAACAGATTGATGAATCAAATACTTTAACTTAATAACATAGAATAATTTTGCAAGGCTACATCGAAACCCCCAGCTATGAACTTAATTACACAACATGATT